TCCTAACGAACATGTCAGCAGCAAGATAACATATAACACGTTGATCTAGTTGTCTGTCATGTTCGCCGGCGACCGTTCTCAGCTGCCAAGACTGCGAGACCAACATACGCGACAAGGCAGCCATGTAGCCTTTCCTCATGGGCATGCAGGCAGCCGGGGTGCGTTACAGCCTGTCTTAGATTGCGGACCAGCGATGCTTCCAACATTGCGGCACAGCGTCGCTTCGAACAGCCGAGGAATGATCCGCCCACCAAACAGTCCTTTCTTCCCAAGTCAGCTCTTGCCCAACGTTGTTCCCCCTTTCAACGAGTTTTATTCGAAAGGCTTCTCCTCCGTCAAGTTGGGGCGCACTGAACTTGGAACGCGAATAGGTGTAACATCCGAACAAAGCCGCGCATCATGCCTGATATCTTACACGACTCTAACTTCACCGAAGGAGCCAATTTCGACAGTGGCGCCACGAATGCCGCATCTCCCGCATCGGATGACCCGAATAACGACCCGGCGGAGAGCCTTATTAGCGAAGGCAGCCGCGACAAGAAGGCCGCATCCGCTCCCACAGAGACACATAGCATTAGGAAGAGAGACTCCGCTGGCGCAATCCAGCAGTTTCTTCTCGATGTTCTTCTAATAATCCCGTCCCTATGCTTCATCATTTACGGCATGATGGCTCTCAAACACAACAACTGGCCGATCGACGCGGGAATGGTTCCAACCTTACGTATGGCCGCGACGTACAGCCCGACTGTCTTCCCCATCGTTTTTGCCGCTGTTGCCGCCAATCTGCTCAAGTCTGCGGCCGGTTGGAAGATGGAACGTGGCGTCTCGATTCTCAGTCTAGAGTACCTCCTCAGCTGCCGCACAGTCTCCAGTGCGGTTACAACGCCGCTTTCTCTACGACGTGTGAACATCCTGTCACCACTCCTCATAGCACTCTGGGCTATGTCTCCTCTCGGAGGACAAGCAGCTCTACGTATCATCGATGTGGTACCGTCTCAAGCATCAGAATCGTACCCGTTTGAGAACCTTGAGTTCATGTCCGTGTTTCCACACTCAGGAGCCCAGAGTTCGGCTGGTTTCAGCACAATGCCCTCCATTCAAGGAGCCTTTATCTCGGCCTTGTCTTTCCCCGAGGACATCAAAACAAGACCTCGAGATGCCTTCGGCAACGTCAAGATCCCCATGCTCGAATATTATCCGCCAACAGCGGCAGCCGATGCCTACGGCTGGTACGATGTCGGCCTCGACGGTGCCGATACGACTTGGTCAGCGATTATGGGAATTCCCATTGCGACTCAAGGTGGCTTCTCCCAGGGACATAACTACTCTTTCACCTTTGAGACGGCCTATATGAATGCAGACTGTTCAGTCCAGCGTGGAGCATCAATGTCCCTTGTAGGCTGGTTCGCATACAAGAACAAAACACTTGGGCGAGAAGCAGCCTACACTACCGGCAGGACTTTACTCATTAAATCCGACGGATTCCACGGCCTCTTTAGCAAGGAACCCAGAAAGTTAATATTCACGTCCTACTATCCCCAAGACAGCATAACGACTAATGCTACATGTACACTTACAACGACGCATGCTAAAGTCGACGTGGCTTGTACTGGAGATCTCTGTGGCGCCCGTCGTGTTAGACGGATTGAGAAGCCAGACAATATGACAGTTACGACAGTATTGGATGGTGCCATTGCGGAAGGATCCCAGAAAATGGCACCGGCAGGAGTTTTTGACTTATTCATGACAACGTTCATGCGAGTCACCTTGACAACATGGGAGGCGGAAAATGGCGCATGGTACAAACCATACCCTTCACCTTTGGAAACCTACTTCACCCACCCGGCCGCCCCTTTTTCCGCACCGGGCATCGGCTCTTACAATGGAACTGATATTTACGAGGTAGGAGATGCAGTATTTTCACAGCGATTCTCCCAGCTGCTCAACACCTTCTGGCTTGCCTCCGTGGCGTCACGCAACATCACCGGCGACTTCAACTTCCAGGTACATACCCTCAACCGGGAAATCGAAAACACGATTGTTCAAAATACCACGGGTATGAGAACACCGGATGAGTTAGTAGTGCGTGTCAGCGGACTCTGGATTTCAATTCTATTCATCGCATCGACAATTATGCTGGCTTCGGGTGTTGCAGCTAGCATCTTCAGTTGTCTCAGACGAGGACCTGACGTACTGGATCGAGCCACGTACTTCTTGAGAGATAGCCCGCACGTGAACATAGCCCAACAGAGCTCACTGGAGGATGGTACCAGTCAGGTCAAAAGGATCAAAGGAGTGCGAGTTTGCATCGGCGATGTCAGACCTTCGGAGGAAACTGGGTATGTCGCATTTGGCACGGTTGGAGAAGCCATGCCCTTGAGGTGGCAGGAAAAGGAAAGGCGTTACGCTTGAGCTTTAGGCGGGGAGCATGAGCTGTTTTGGAATGCTGTGGGATATCAGATGTCTTTCAAATCCAAGGACAACGAACACAGTCACACTGTGTGATTGATCTGTTCCGTTCGTGGTCGTTTGTCTTAATCTGTCGACCGTTTCTGTTCCTAATTCTGGTCCCAGTAAAGCGTCACCCTTAAAACACTCCCCAAGCTCATACACCTTGGAGGCCTTGACGTCTATTCCCTAGTTTAGTAGTCCCGTCTTGTCATCAAGGGAAACTTTTCGAGGATCACGATGGACATCTTTAGGATGGTCGTAAAAGGACATAGTATAGGTATTCATTATGAGCACAGCGCTCAAACAATGGACGACCTATGGCAAAAGGGCAATTTACTGTTCGGTGTCCCCCGATTGATATGGCCAGGATATAGTCCTTGACAGCTTCAGTCGGCAGTTTTGAGGAGAGGGTTTACGAGAGAGTACTCGACTAGCCAGTCTAGCCATCGAATAAGATTCCACGAGCCCGATGGAATAATTGAATCTCGCCATGCTAGGGCCACGTGCAATCCAGCCACCACTAGGCCGCTCGGATGCTCCGTGTTAGCTGCATCCCATAAGTTGACATCAAAACGGCTTAACGCATGTAGGTGCTTGCGCGTGATGCACATCGTGCCCTCTCATCCTTGGTGCCCAAAGACGATTACACTTATTAGAACCTCGTTTCTAGATCTCCAATTTGCTCTGCACTAGCCTCGAGTTTGGCGTTCCTCCCTGTCGTGGACCAACTCAGAACCCCCACCCCCTCGTCGGAGAGATGGATCCGTCGTCGTTACACCAAGCCTTATTCGGACTTCCGGGCTAAATTGTGATCGAGATCTCGTACTTTTGAATAATGAAGGCTGCTTCCAGGTAAAAGCGTGTGAATAAGAGTAGTTGCGGCCTTCTTGCAGCATACAAGGTATCGAGATCTTCTAGATTTCGGCGTCACCTCGGAACTGTGAGCACAAGCTATCAAGAACAGGTCAACGCAGCATGACAATGAACACACAAATACACATATCCTCCTGAGAATTTTCAATGAACGTGAATGTTACTTCAGCCGCCTCGGAAAACAAAAATGAAACCTTTCTTTCGACTAGATAAGTACTGTAACTGCTTAACCTGGAGTGGGTATTATCTCAGAGCGGCCGTCGATCCAACCTCACCATCAGCCACCGGGCCAGCCACAGTTGCAGCACGAGTTTGTGCGCTACATATACGTAGACACCGGCTAGCAACTCTCGAACTTGCCGGCTCAAAAGTAGGGAGATGCAATGATTTCGTCATTTGGGGATCCAATTTCAGAGCCTCCCAGAATGGACTCGTTCTAAGACACTAAGGCTTTCATTCACATGGGTGGAGACTGTTGCGGTCACAGAGACGCAACATAGGTACTTCTCACAACAGCTTCTACAGCAATGTAGCTATTCATTCTTGGGAGACATGATTGGTACGGATCATAGTTTCCAGAGCTTGTGTAGACTATTCAACCCAATGCGTTGTAGTAGTAGATGCCAGTGGTCTGCAAAGAGACACGGGAGGCAAACGCATCGCTGATCTACCCCCGATGCTGCCGAGGGAAATGCTGATGACCAAAGTTTGCTTGCCTTCAACTTGACTTCCAACGGATCCTGCTCCGCTTCTCACTCCTTGCCTAATAGGTATGCAATGCGAATGCTCATCATTGCAATTCTCGGAGAATTCCCTTACCGCAAAAGCCAATTTGGGAACCTTGACACGCGCAAATGGCCAAAATATTGACAGGTCAACTGCTCTAAGCTTTGTTGACTCTCGATTATTCGCTGTACCCCGCGATCGTTGTGAGGAATTCCCACAGTACTATCCATTTCCGACGACGCGGGCCATAGCCGCATCCATAATGACGCCGTGCATCTGGAGCTACCCAAGCCTAGCGCAAGACTAGTCAAGACACACCTGTCTGCGCCACCACGCCGGGATTCCTGAGAACTGAGATCAAGCCTTCTTCCGTCGAACGGGGCCCAACGGATCGCACTAATGAGGCTTAACTCACAAGACTCATTCCTCCGATAACATTGGATGTTATCCACCGCTAGGCGCCATGCCAAGATTGTCCAGCTCAGTCGTTCCTCACCCTCGTCAGTGGCAGAATAGTAGCTCCGAATTTCAGCTTCCCCAGATGGTCCGATTCAACGTTTAGCTCTTCGGCACAAACCTTGAGGCGTTTGGTTTCGATGAGTCCAGGCTCATCATGATCTCTGAATGACGTGTTGCATCGGATTCCCTAGCTTTGGCCGCTTTGGACGGGAATTCCAGTCGCCGATGGAGAATGAATTCGAGATTCAGCGAATCTCTACGCGGCGTTAGTACTAGGACAGCTGAAGTTCAATGTCCTATGACGTTTTTGTTCCTTTGGTGAGGGACTGTGCGATTTTCAGATGCTTCTTCGATGCCTGAAGGTTAGTGAATATTGGTCAACTTGATGCCTATATATACTGCAACTTGATCATCCCTAAAACCCTCTTGCGATACAATTCAATCACAACAACTCAACCAATAATCACCTAACATAAATAACAACCGCAATCATGGACAGAGCCAAGCAAGCCGTTTCTAGCTTCATCTCCAAGGACGGTCACCACAAGACCAGTGTCGATGAAGATGTCAACAGAGCTGTTACCGAGGAGCAAATCCGTCCCCATCGCCACGAGGAAGTTACCACAGCTGTCGACAAGGAGGTTCACCAAGATCACCACCATACTACCATTCAGCCTGTTAAGCACCAGGAGACCCTGTAAGCAATTCTATCTACATTGTGTAAAGCCTTCCAACTGATTGTCTCAATTCCCAGCCCCGAGAAGCACCACCACAACATCGTTCCGGTTGCACACAAGACTTTCGACCACGGAAACGAGAGAGAAACCAAGGACACTCTCGACCGGGAACACGCAAAGTTCAAGGACACTTCTACTACTCACGAGACCACTCACACTTCGACCACTGCCCCCGCGGTCACTGGTGAGAGAGTGCACCACCATATTCATGAGCACATTCAGCCTGTTATTCAGAAGGATACTATCCAGCCTCATATTGTTCACACCACTATTCCCATTCACGAGACACACCACGCCAAGCCTATCCACCACGAGGCTACCACTCTCCCTGTAAAGACTCTCGAAGAGTTCACCAGGGAGAAGGGAAGTCTCATGGACGGCCCTCGTCACCACCGCTACGACGAGTTTGAGGGTTGCCCTGACAAGTACCACAAGGATCTTGGTAACACTCACCAGTCAGGAATTGGCCATAGCCATGACCACAGCCACGGGGCCGGTAAGGCAGCCGTCGGCACTGCTGCCGCTGGCGGTGCTGCAGTTGCCGCTCACAAGCACCACGAGCACAAGAACGAGCACGAGCGTGGTCTTGACAGCCATCACCACTCTGGCCCCGGCAAGGGCACCACTGCTGCTGGCACCGCTGCCGCAGGAGGAGCTGCATTGGCTGCCCACAAGCACCACAACAATGAGACTGCCACCCACGGCGTGAACGACCGCGGTCTCGGCCACACCGGTCTCGAGAGTCAACGTGTCAACCAGCACAACACTCACTCCGGATCCGGGGCTGCTACCGCTGCTGCCGGCGCTGCCGCCGCCGGTGCTGCCACCCATCACGGCCACAACAACACCACCGGCACTCACAACCCCCTCGGCTCCCACAGCACCACTGGTACGCACGGCACCGACAGCCTTGCTGCTGCTCAGGCTGCTAACACTCGTGCCAACAACACAACCGGAACTGGCAACCTGTCCCACAACCAGACTACTGGCCGCGATAACATCGCCCACAACCAAACTGTAGGTGACAAGTCCATCAGCACTGCCCAAGGTATTATGCACGGAACTCACCCTACCGGCACCCAGACTTCTGGTAGCAACTACACCACCTCTGGCAGCCCTACCACTGTAACTCACGGTAGCTCAGGCCTGAACAAATCTGAGGTAAGTCTAGCGTCAAGTTATATTATCTTCTCACAGCATTCTAACCATATTTTAAGCCTCGCTTCGGCTCAACTGGCACTAGCACCAGCCAAAGCGGTGCTGGCAAAGCCTCAACTACTGACCACGCCACGCATGACACCACTGGAAAGAAGATTTCGCTTGTTGATAAGCTGAACCCCTTCAAGGATGCTGATGGTGACGGTCACAAGGGCATTATGAGTTAAATGCATAAGGATATCCTGAGCGTTTCTTTAGTTATTCATATGCATTAATAGGATTGATCATAATAATACAATGGTTGCTTGCATCTTAAAATACCTGCCCAGTGCATCCAACAATTATGAAATTTCTTCTGGTGTTCTTGCCCTTTCTGGCCCCAATCCGAGTTCTTCACGCCTGTGTTCCATCTTTTGAATACTGCTCTTCGTTAGCTTAACAATACGCCCCTTGGTAATCTTCTTCAACATGAATTGAATCTTCGGGCCTGGGTTGCATCGGGTAGTATGCCCTTCATGGAAGCATATCTTGTTAGCGATGCCCCGGATGCGATCCACATAGCTCGCCACAGCTTCCATCCGATCACACTTCACTTCCAACCCAACACCACCACTTGCGTCGCCCATGCCTCTCATCAAGCTGCCTAGGATAATGAAGTTGCAATGCTTCCTGTCCTCACAGGTGGCCCTCTTATCAACACAGCACCTGTCGTTGAACATGAGTTCTCTGATGACGGAGTTAATTTGGAGTGGTAGGGTGTTGATGATGTCTTCTCGCTGTCTGTGGAGAATCTCTACAGACTCCTGTTAGCAATGCCCTCAAGCACGGCAGCAGATCCAAGGGGTAAAGCAGGCATGGATGTTACCAAGCAGACCGGGTGGGCCGAGAGGACCAACGTCATCCAACAACACCTTCTGGCTGACCATGCGTTCGTCTTCGCTGAGCGAGGAATACATGATCAATTCCTTGACCATCTGCCTATGCAGCTCAACCTGCCCCAACTCCCACGCCACATAGGACAATGCTGCCCTCTCTCGGCCTTCAAAGCGATTCGTGCCCTTTTGGCAATTCTCCGCCACATGCAACCAAGAAACAGCCCAAGGTTTCAGAGCCGGAATCATGTCGTACTTGTTCGCCATCTGAAAAATCTCATAAAGCTCAAACAGGTCAGGTGTATTCGGGACCAAGGGGAAGTTCGCGTGGATGATATTGAGGATTATTTCCAAAGCTTCGGGGTCGTCTTCAGGGAGGTTCACCACCCATGGCCCAAACGCCGGTTTAGATTCTTTGAATGGACCAAAGAGCATCTTCTTCCAGACCTGCGATGAACGTCGCAAGGCGCTGGCGCAGACGTGGAATAGCCTTTCGGGCTTGTCTGTCTGCTGCCCCGCCCGCAAGGTGAGGTCGCCATCGGGGTCGATTTGGACTTCTATGACACTGGAGAGTCCGCCGTTGGTGTCATCCGCAGCCTGTAAGTCGTCCATGGAGATTCGGAGAATATGATGCGATCTCAAATGTCATGAGGCTGAAAGTTGCCCGTACATCAATTTTTACGTCATACTTGAAAGATGGAAGTTGTGACAAGTTCTCACTGAGCCTTAGGCATTATGTCAGGAAAGTTGGCAAAGTTGGAAACTTAAGAAACAAAATATCTTCAAGGGTCCAGGGACCATCCGTGCTTTCAGGGTCGCATCGAGTGGTTACGTAAGCGGGGATTTTCGTGGAATAGCTTCATTTGGCAACCACGAAACTCTCGCAGGGTGTCTGAAGTGATTGATTGAATGTCTCCCTTAATCGGAAGGCTTTTTAAAAGTAGAAAAAGTCATAATCTTAGCGCTTGATGTCTTCCTCGCCAGTTGTGTTTTGAATAGTCCGAAGTATCTTGGCAGAATTGGTGGAATACAGCGATTTCTTATTATCACCATGATTTTGCCGCGAAAACTTCATCAAATTCAAAAACTGAGAAACGAAATGGGATATTTGAGTTTTCGGGGCCGAAAATCGTGAAGTCAACATCGATCGGTCTTTTTCAACTTGCCTACCTGGAATTCTCAAATCGTCTATACTTTATTTGGGATAAACACAGGTTATTAAATCTGAGGAACTTGGTCACACAACATAGTAAAAGTACTTCTATTGTCTTTTCAGGTAGGACAAGTAGTCGATCTAAGCTTATTCCTAATCTGCGTTCCACCAATTACTATGGTAATTAAACATTGCATGACCCATTTCAAAACAGTTCAACTGATAAAAACCCAAGACGCCTCAGAAACAGCACTTTGCAATTTTGAGATAGCCATGCAATAATTACCCGGATATTACAACATGGATCTCTTACAATTCCAGTTTGCTCTGCCGGTGAAATTGGCACGTAATCGTACTCTACTGAATGTCCCAAGTCAACTACAAGACTCATAGACTAGAGAGAAGGAAGCAGGAGTGAAGCTTGCACGACATCAACTAACAAGCACCCCTTAACAAGATCCATTAGAAATTTCATCAACCACGATACAGCAAACCTGGCTTCAATAGAGGGCTCTTGCACTCTCAAATAACCATTCAACTCCCAGTCACGTCAACGCAGCATTTCTGCTCCAGCACGCAATCTCACCAAACCCGCAGCATCCCCAAGTCACGAGCATTCGCATTACTCAGCAGCCTATATCGGACAGCCGTGCTCAAAGGCACTATCTATCAATACGTCGGATTGCCAACAATCCTGCGACATGTCGTGACCGGGGGCGGGGCAGTAGTGGAGAGCGCGTGTAGGAGGGGCCGGTCTGTCGTTGGTCCAGCTTCGGCTTCATCGCCATATCGGACCGGGCGGTACCCGCAACTGCGCTTCGACGTATGGACGGATGTAGACGACTCGGTAGTGTCATCGGTACTAACCTCAAGCATGATGCAAGTGTGGAAGGTCCTGCCGCCAGGTGGAATGTCTCCCGCACGCAGGAAGTTTTGAGAAACTGTTGCCAATACTCTGACAACCCAACAAGAGATATCCACGCCTGCTGCTAAAAACGATGTTAATTAACCGTCCATCAATGAGAGTTTGAGCGCCGTAGCCCCGAGTAAACCCATACCACTATCGGGAAACCTTGGTCCTTGTCGGGTTGCTCTTTGATTTGGAGGGGGTTTCGCGGGGGTGTTGATTGAATGGTCAATGGCGATGCAGCCATCTTGGGGAAGAATCACGCAATGCGGGACTACGAGAGCACGTAATACCCCCCCAGCGCACCCAAAGGAACGACAATTCCGATCGACAACAAGAAGCGACTCCGAACACCGGGAGGGGGTGTAAAATCAAAATGGCTCTTATCTTTTGCTAGAGAAAATGACGAGAGAGGAAATGCAAAGAAAAAAAAGTTTAACAATTCTATTGTGAGATTTGGAGTATCCCTCTCCAAGTCCCTTCTTCCCCCTTTTCTCTCTATCCAAGGGTCTTGCATTCCGAGTTTCTGACTTTTACGACTTTCCTATTCTGCGTCATCTTTTGAGATAGGAACTGTTGCCCAAGACGAGACAGTGTGCAGCAAAACTACGAGACACACACGACGCCCGCAGACAGTCACTTTCCCATCCCATACCTACCAGAAGGGAACAACTCACCCTGAACGATCGTTAGACTCTGGCCAATGATAACGGCGAGACCCTGAAAGAACATCAGATCACCATGGCAGAAATCCCAGCGACGCAGACCGTGCTTATCCTCCACGCGGCGAAGCAGCCGTACGAGACGGCGGAAGGCTACCAGGTTCCCGAGATCCAAAATGAGCAAGAGGTGCTGGTGAAGACGGAGCACATCGGTCTCAACCCAATCGACTGGAAAGCACCGTATGTCTTAACCCCCTCTCCGATACTCTTCTCATCCAGCGTCTCTCAAGCAGGCCTTTCCGTAGAGAAAGAGAGAGTAACCAAAACTGACAAACTGCTCCAAACATTAGCGACTTCAACTTCGCAATCCCAACCCTCCCCTACATCTCAGGCCGCGAACTCGTAGGCCGCGTCGTCCGCCGCCCGCAACCATCATCGACAACAGCAGCAACAACCTCCCAAAAGCAAAGTCAAAGCCGCCTCCGTGAAGGCGACCAGGTCCTCGTCATCTCCACAGACTACCGTGACCTCCGCAAGGCAGCCTACCAGGAATACGTTGTCACCTCAGACTTCAACGCCGCCCGCATTCCGCCCAACGTCTCCCCGCGCGCCGGCGCGACCCTCGGCGTCGCCTTCGTCGCTGCCGCGCTCTCCCTGGCCGTCTGCATGGGCGTAGACTTTTCCCACGTCCTCGACGGGCCGGATCTGTTGACGATCCTGCGCTCCGTTCCGCCGGAAAGTCTGCCGCAGGATATCAGGGCAGAGTGTCTTTCAGGCATCGGCAACCATGAAAGGGCCACGGCGGGCGACTGGGTCGTCATCTGGGGCGGGTCGTCGACCTCTGCGAACTTGGCTGTGCAGCTTGCGCGGCTTGCGGGGTTGAAGGTCGTTACTGTGGTAGATAAGCTGCGTCACGGCCTCCGACTGTCGAACCATACTGTCCTCCGCCCCGATTTACTCGTCGACAGCCACGACCCTGCGCGCGCCATTGACATCATCCGCGCCAACGTCGGAAAAGACCTGCGCTTCGCGCTGGATACCAGCGGTCGGGAGTCCGCCGGCTGGTTGCTCCGCGCGTTGACACCGTCGCAGGATGCCAACGCGCCGCCTAGCCCGCCGGATACGCCTCGCAACTCGGCGCCAACTGTCAAGCATCTCATCGGGCTAACTGGTCTGCCCAAGGAGCAGGCACCAGAGGCAGTCGCATACCACACCGTCCCCATCAAGGTCTTCCACGAGGTCCCTGCCGTTGGAGAAGCCCTCGTGACCTGGTTGGAACGCTTGCTCGAGAGCGGCCTCGTTAGCCCGCCCGAGGTCCTCGGAGTAGAAGAGGGATTCGAGGGCATCAACCGTGGCCTCGACCGAATGAGAAAGGGCGAGATTCGCGGTGGGAGAATGGTCGTCAGTCTTGCGCCAGAGGGGGCCGCGGCCGCACAGGAAGATGCCACGAGAGAAGCGAGCGTGCCGCCCGCGCTGGTTGATTCGCCCATGGCAGACGGCGTCGCGGAAGAAGAGCCTCAACCCTCGGAAACGTCGCAGGCGTCGAGCCCAGAGTTCACCGCCCAGAAGCTTGCCGACACTGGCCTGCGGAGGGGAAGCGCGACATTATGGCAGGCTGGGCCAGCGGGCGATGCGGTTCCTAGAAGCTTTCCTGACGAGCAGACTGATGACAGGTCGAATGCGGCGCCGAGAAGAAACTCTCTGTGGCAGCCCAAGTCAGCGGAAATTGCGGTCGAAAATGGTTCGTCATGACGAGCGTTGATGGAATAGCATCCGAGTTGATTGAATGATGATACAAACGATGGGGTTTACATAGTGGGAGTCTGATCAAGCCAAAATGCTGGATAATTCACCTATCGAGGCAGTCAACAGGCGAAGTAGAATTGGTTAAAAATAGAGATTGCACATGATCATTGCTAATGGGAAGATTCTAAGAGAATAATGTGATTTTCGAAGCCCGACCTTCGGTGAAGCAGACTGATGTGACCCCGGATTGGGCGCTACGGGGAAAAGCGGGGGCTACCCGGGGTCAGCCACTCCTCACCGAGCTTGACCTGGTGCCTGGACCCCGTGCGTGTCTGCTTGCGTCTCCCCTCATTCCTCTCAACATCCGTCTTTGTAGCCAGTGTGTTTCCGTCAATTAAGCTCATCAGATAAGAGTCTCCCGGCCGCTTGTTGCGTTACCGGACCTCAGCCAGATCTGCAAAACCTACGTGCCTTTTTCCCTTGCTTTACGCAAATGTCTTCTTCTCAGGTTCAGCGCCAGCGGTTGCCGCTGGAACTCATCTTGAACATCATCGAGAGTCTTCTCCCACCGAATGAATCGTCAATCTTGCCTGCGTCCCATAGTGCAACGAAAGCCCTGATATCATTCAGTCGCGTCTCCCGCTCAACATATGACTTCAGTACCCGGCTGCTCCGCAAGCGATGCATGCACATCGACTCGACAAGCCGCCTGAGCTTGCTTCTGCTGAGTCTCTTCTCACCGTCGCCTAGAAGTCTCCCGCCGACCCTATCACTTAAATGCATCACTTCCCTCTACCTCAGTCCCTTTGGAAAGTCGCTAGATGATAAACCGACGGCCATGTGGGTGCGCGAGCTCTTTTGCGAGGTTTGCGACACCCTCAAGCGCCTTATCGTCGACATGCCGTTCGGGACCTTGTCTGGATACGATGACCACCTCGATGTCAGGCCGACTCTGACGGACGGGTTCCAGCGGCTATCCAAGCTCGAGGAGCTCATCTGTTTACGAGACTATCCGGCTCTGACTTTCATGCAACAGACCTTCACCGTCAACTGCTGGAGCTTGTGGCCCAACCTGAGGCGCGTCGTGTTATTCAATGCACCCATGTCGAGCCACTGGCTCTGGTATGACATAGCAAACACAGCC